GAGCATATGGCACTGCTTTGAGGTCACCATGATCCCCAAAATCCTCATGGAAGCATTCACCAAGGTGTTCCCAGCCATCCAGAGGTTCTGAGCCTGTTTCCGAAGTGTGCGAACCTTCTGCTGAGACAACAACTTGTTCTGGGTGTGTCCAGAGGCATACTCAGATAATACAGGCATTGAAGTTCTAGAACTGACTGTCAGAGTCCACCCAAATCTCTGCAATACCTGAATCATCCTTTGGATTTTCTTCAAAAAATACCTCTGCTCCTCTCCTGCAGAAGGAGGTTGGCTAGAAAGCCCTGGATGTGGATCTCATGGGAACATAACAGGACCAGCACCAGACCTTTGTGAATACTTGGGGAGCCACAAACTGGTAATAATGATTTTCTACCACAAAGCGCAAATAACGGTGGTCCGGAGGAAAAATGTAGATTTATGGGAAAGCATACTTTATGTCTGCTGATGTTATGAAGTTCCCCGGCTAGAGGGCAGCAATAATCGTTCTTGTTAAGTCCATCCGGAATTTCAAGACCTTCAAAAACTGGTTCAAATAGTGGGGTTCTAGAATGGGTCTGACAGTCCCTTCCAGCTTGGGAACTGTTAACAGGTTTAAATGAAATATTTGAAATCTCTTTTGCTCCAAAATCTGGGCCACAACCTCCAGTGCCACCATTTGAGTTATATCTGTTTTAAGTTCACCCTGCATAAGGTACATTGGAGGGGAAAAAAAATAAATGGAGGGTGAGTTAGACACTCAAGCTTGTACCTGGAGAACATACTCTTCCTGAACCCATGTGAAAGGAAGTTTTTTTCTGTCTCAGAGGACCCTATTTGCTTGTGGAGAACCTTATCTTCTGTTTACTGGGTATAAGCATGCTTTTGTCACCCTTTTCCTTTTTTACATGTGAATCCAAAAGAGTCCCCAAAGATGATCCCCCTAGAAGAGCATCTTCTCCAATCAGTTCTTACAGGCTGAATCTGCCAACCAACATTAAATCTTAAGGATCCTTTGCATCTGAACAGACAGCAAAATGCAAGACAACTGATATTTATTTCAGGTACTTCTATAGCACCGTCAATTTACGCAGCACTTTACATACATATATTGTACATTCACATCAGTCCATAACCCTCAAGGAGCGTACAATCTAAAGTCCCTAACTCACATTCATACATACACATACTAGGGACAATTTAGACCGGAGCCAATTAACCTACCAGCATGTCTTTGGAGTGTGGGAGGAAACCGGAGTACCCAGAGGAAACCCATGCAGTCACAGGAAGAACATGCAAACTCCAGGCAGGTGGTGCCATGGTTGGGATTCATACCAGCAACCCTAGTACTGCCAGGCAGAAGTGCTAACCATTTAGCCACTGTGCTGCTCATAGAGGCAGAGTGTATAGAGTGATAGAGTATCACTCATCCTTGTCAATCTTCATTCTTGCCTTTTTCAAAAAAGTTGCAAGTTCTCCTTTAAGGGAAGCCATTTGCATGGAAAATTGCTGGGGAAAGTTGAGAGTGACAACTTTAAGTCTTGCACATTAGCTGCCCTTTTGGAAGCACTGCTATTGCACATTCTGACATATCCTGTATGCAGCATTTGAACGTTCTTTGCGAGAACCCATACAGTGCAGGTTTCTCAAGCCTATTGGGGTTCATTTATGAAAACTGGAGCTAAAGTGGAATTGTTACCAATAGTAACTGATGCAATTCCTTATTTCATTTAAAGATGACAGTTATACTTCTAAGCAGAGATCTGAAGAAGCCCCAGGAGGTATGGGCATGAATCCTAGTCTTAGATAGGTTCTAAATTTTTTTCAGAGGACACATATAGGCATTTTCTGAAACAATATTTTATAAGAGCAATTTCCAAGTGTTGTATCTGCTGCAATATTTTTTATAGTTTTAAAAAGGGTAGGGAAGAACCCTTGTTAAGTCTTGCTTATTGCTGTCTGGGTGCATGCTATGTAGATTCACCCTCCCCATTTGTCCTGGTGACCATGGTTATTGAAATGGAAAGTGACATGAAACCCAAAATGTTACAGTTGGCACTGGAACATGGAGGTGAGGGATCACCTATTGCAGTGACAACAAAGAGAATAATCCTCTTCAATTTGTAGATTTTCCCTTTCACTTCCTTTTGTGTCATCTCCAAAACAAGAAGCAAATTTATTCTCCCCAATAAGACACAGACAGCAGATAATAAACTTATAGGGGGTTTAACTAATTAAAACATTTTGGATATATAAATACTTTTACTTTTTGGAATGTAATACCGATTGACTTTTCTGTGTATACTATATGATAAATTTAAGTTCGGCTCTGCCATTTATCTTCCAAGGATTCCAAAGGCACTATAGGTTTTATGAATAGACACAATGGTGTCCTTTTATCATACAGCAGTAAATGACTGCTGCTCAGTTCTCCAGCATTCTCAGAGGAGAGAGTTCTCCTCTGAATGCCTTTTTATGAAGCGGTGTAGATAGTTTCTTTGAATGAAGAGAGAAGCGATCTACAAACGCTGTGAATGCTAGAAAACAGCTGCTGTTACTGTAATCTTGCGAGATCAGTAAATTACCGCTGCTTCATTTGCGGTTCCCCCTGATTCTCCAGCTCTGGGCTGGAGAATATGGAGGGAGAACACAGATTGCCAGTGAAGGGCTAACATCGCACCTTCATACACTGGCAGTCTGTGTGCTGAGATGATCAGCGGAAAACATGTTCTACGCTGATCATCTCTGTTTCCTAAATCACTAATGATCTGAGATCAGTAACGATCCTTATGATCGCCAGTGATCTCTGTTTCATAAAAGGACACCTACAAGTGAAACTCGAAAAATTAGAATATCGTGCAAAAGTTCATTTATTTCAGTAATGCAACTTAAAAGGTGAAACTTAATATATGAGATAGACTCATTACATGCATAGCAAGATAGTTCAAGCTGTGATTTGTCATAATTATGATGATTATGGCTTACAGCTCATGAAAACCCCAAATCCACAATCTCAGAAAATTAGAATATTACATGCAATCAATAAAACAAGGATTGTACATAGAACAATATCGGACCTCTGAAAAGTATAAGCATGCATATAATGAAAATGAATGGTGCAGCGCTAACTACAAAAGTGAATAAAAATGAATAAAAATAAACGTGTATCCATATAATCATAAAGTGCTAATAAATCAACAAACCAAAAATATACATATAACAATAAAGTGCTAATCAGAACCGTGATATAAAGTGGACAATACTAGTGTATGGGTCACCTTACTGTCCTAAAAAATAGTGATAAACACACACAATATATAATGAAATAAACTTGTGTTAAGTGTCCTTGGTAATAATCAAAAAACCTTTTAAAGCAAGTACTAATAAGTCCATAAAGTAACAAGTGCTGATAAAACGTGATAAAACATCATGCAATGTGTTAAACGTGAACACTTCGTGCAAGTGCTGGCACACTTTAAATCCACTCCAGCTGCAGTGCCTCCTCACCTCCTTCCTGTGACCCAAAAGAGCCCAACAAGCATTCAGGATCACTCTGAATCCTTTATATCTCCGGCTAATACCTCTCCAGAAAGCCAAGGATCATAAACGGTCTCCTGTTCAGCCTCCAAATGCTTCCTCCTCTGCCTTTTATAAGGATACTCTGTAGGGTATATTACTCACAATCCCAGTGAGTAATAAAAAGATCCACAAAAATGCAAGTTGCACATGGTCTGATGCTGCCACATGGTTGATCTGCCTGGTGGATTTGTGGCATTTTTGTGGATATTTAGATTGGGACACTTTGAGCCTAGAATATTGCACCTTTTCACAATATTCTAATTTTCTGAGATTGTGGATTTGGGGTTTTCATGAGCTGTAAACCATAATCATCACAATTATGACAAATCACGACTTGAACTATCTTGCTTTGCATGTAATGAGTCTATCTCATATATTAGTTTCACCTTTTAAGTTGCATTACTGAAATAAATGAACTTTTGCACGATAATCTAATTTTTTGAGTTTCACCTGTATGTCTCTAATTACAACCTTTTATGGAGGGGTAGGAGAAGGAGGATAAGTCATGCTCTGATTCATTATTTTGTGTGCAAAAAATAAGCTTGAACTCTGTAAACTGGAAATAAAAAACATTCCTATGCACCATTTCATATTTAACAAACTGTAAATATTAAGAAAAGTTTCAATAACATTATTTTTTTAGCTAAGGCTATCATAATTGAAAAAAATATACATACAAAATCTCAATACATTGGCTTTGAAGGAAAATACAGCAATTTAATTACCGGTAACTATTGGTTTATGCATGTAATTATCATATTTGTGCAAAATCCACCAGCTATACATAACAGTTTACATACTGTGTCAATGTTCAATTTAATGTGTAAAAAGTTACACAAGCTACAAAAGATATTAGTTATATGCCACGCCCAAGGAGGGCTTCACATGCAGATGCAAGTTTTCCAACCAACTAATTTTGCCAGAACCACAATGATTTACCACTCAGTAAATCTCGAGTGATGTAACTCATGATCCAGTTATCCTATAGTAAATGAGTCACTTGGGTGAGGTGGTAAAACTTTTTACATACCGTACATAAAATCTAGTGGAATATCCTCACATCTGCAAATCTGTCAGAAAGTTAATTTGTAGACAGTGATGGTAATTTTCTCATCTGTTTTCCTTTCTTCTGGCCATAGAAACATGTATATTTAGCTTGTGGTGGAGACACATCGTAATCAGCAGTGGTGCAGCAGTACAGAACTGTTATGACTATGGCATATGACTACAGCCCATTAATAAGCATTATGGGGCTATTATAAAATATAATACAGCTCTTCAAAGCCTCATCAGAACTTTAAATATACAAAAGAAATGTGTGATGGATTTTGATGTTTTTTTTTTATTTCCAGTAGGAAAGTTAACATTTTCTCCACAAATATATTACACATACAATATATTTCAATAACATTTAAAGGAATACTCACAGTGTTTGTGTTGCTCGTTATGGATTGCTGATTTAAGTACATGGTTGCACTCCTGATTCCTGCTTCAACTTGACCTTCTCGCTGTAACAGGAAATGTAAAAAACATGTAATAGTGAATGTGTGTAACACTGTGAGGTAGTTTTATTAACACTGGAGAGTGCAAAATCTGGTGCAACTGTGCATGGTAGCCAATCAGCTTCTAACTTCAGCTTGTTCAATTAATCTTTGACAGAAGAAAAAACGGGAATCTTATTGGTTTCTATGCAGAACTGCACCAGATTTTGCGCTCTCCTGTTTTAGTAAATCAACTCCTGTGTGTATTCAACTTGTGACCTAAGAATAAAAAGAAACATAAAACATAGAAAAAGTTCTGTTATGTTTTGAACATGTAGAAACAAGGGCTAACAGCCTCAAGGCCATTAGTCCTGCTGATTTATCTGGGAGCCATTATTGAATATTTAAGAACAAAAAAAAGACAAGGAAATTAGATTGAGGCTCAACCAGAATTCCATGAGTTTTTTTATATAAAGAAGCTTTACCTGAAAAACATATAAATATTTGTGGTCAAAGCATAATAAACAATTCTCTTTATTGTACAAACAACACATATAACACTTACAAACATCCCAATGATCTGAACTGTTCCTGGCCCATTTGAGACTGGGCACTTCAGAACACAGAACGTCCTGTGGTCTAGTACAGGAACATCCCCCAGGGTTGCCTGGCCAAAGGCTGAAGTCCAGCCCACATCCATATTTCAATAAATTGAGGAGCATGGGATATGGATGGGATGATCCATACAGAGCCAGTTCCATTTGACTGGTGAATCGCAGGCTTTCTTCTGACTTGCTACAGTCGCAGAATAAATCTTGGTAAAAGTTTCTCTGTTTTTCTTCCCTTTTTATTGCATAGCGAATAGTCAATTGGGTGTCTTTGTCTTTCTTGTATTTGTTGTAATTCCTTTTTTCTTACTACATATTTTATGCACTGCTCACTTTCGAGATATTAAATCATAAAATTAATAAGTGACTTTTGTGTACTCTGGAGGAATTGTTGTAATGTAGTCTACATTCATTGCCAGTCTGTATGCATTTGCACTGCGTGTTGGCAGATTGCATGCAGAATGTAATGTAGCAGATCTGCCAGACGGAGATCTGTTTGTGTGTGGTGGCCCAGCAGACCAGTCTGCAGACAAACTGTTGGGTGGTGGCAAGATACCATTTCTGTGCGTGTCTGGTGTGAGGGTAGGCGGACAGTGGAAGAGTGATTGACATTGGGATTCTAGCTTGTAGGATAGCTGGAGGAATCCTAGAAGGGTGTGCTAATTGCTAGACTGCTCCCCAACTCTTAGAGTGCACCAGATTGATATAAGATTCGTATCTGCCTGTGTGTGGTCAGACATCTAGATTGGAGTGGAGTCTCCCTCTAATGATGGCCAGAGGTAGTGCAGGCTGTGAAAGGCTATCAAGGCCAGTCTTATATGCTCAAAGAAAGCTCCCCTCATTCCCTGCTTTACCCAAAGTCACGGACCAGGTTAGTTAGCTGCTATGAGCGTGCATTGTTCGTGTCATGTGGTACACAATCTGGGTTTATATAACTTCAGTATTAAACCCAAAACCAAAAATGTAATACAGTATATTGCAGCTTACCACTCCTTGGATGTGGTGGCTACATTCGTTTTCTCTTTTTAGTTTTTTTTCCTTCTCGTTTCACCTACTGATCTGGCCATTAACACACCTCCTGTATTAGGGTGCCTACATACTGGATGAAGAAGCAACAAAGGACACAATTGGACAGCAGCATTGTCCGTCTAGGGGGAAAGGGAGTGTTAGATGCACTAGCAGATTTAGCCAAAGCCCAGCTAACACATTTTAAGCAGTTACAGAAACAGTTCTGTTCCTTTTGGATAAAGGTTTTACATAAATAAATAAAAGCTGACCATTGTAAGTATCCTTGTCAGTGTTAAATGGTTTGTCTCAACCCTCTAACTGCTACAGCTGCAGGATAGCTTATTTTGTTCAAAGACAACAGACTTCCTGGCATGATCACAAGGTGAAAGTAAAAGAAATCCGAAAAAGAAAACTAATGCAGCCATCACATTTAATCAGTAAGCTGCAAATTTAAAGAGGTAGTAAACACTGCTTGGACACTTGAACCTACAGGTAAGCTTATAATAAAGCTTATATATAGGTACAAGGAATATCTCCTAAACGTGCACCATTTAGGAGATATTCACTGTCTCCACAGTGCATGTGCTGTGTAGGTTGCAGGGTCCAAGTAAGAAAATGGTAAGCTTTACAAACATCGATCTTCTGTAAGCTACCAATCTCCTCTTCACCATGTAATGGAGATGAATACAGGCAAACATGTTTGGTGTCCAGCCTGGGTGACACCCATGTCACTCTCCTTACATACAGTGAAGTGAGTGAATTTGTGTAGCCAGCCAGGGAAGGAAGCATGCTAGAAAAAAAAACTAATGAAGGCATTAAGGACTGTTAAGTTGCAACATATTACAGTTATGTTTTTGGTCGAGGTGGGTTTGCAGCTTTTAACAGTTCTCGTCAAAGACGATTGACAAAATATAGAAAATCATATTCAACACTATTTACAAAAGTAAACAAATACACAGCCAATAAAATAACTATTACTGGAAACCATCCTGTATACAATAAAAAAAAAAGCTATTAAGATAGACACTACCGTTTGCTGAATCTTTTCTGAATGTCAAGCCTCATAAATGCAAATATACTAATAAATGAAAGTTGTATACTACATAAACTTATACCAACATAAAGACAGAAATTATATAAACTTTAACAACAGACCTCTAAAATATCCTTTGTCAGACATGTGCCTTGAGTTCTCAGTCTGAATAGGTTGTGGACCCCAAATAATTCACCCTTATGCTCTCTTGATCCTTGGACAGCTTTAAAGTAGCGTTTAGCATTTTCACTTCCAACTGCCACACAGTGAAGTTGCTATTTAAAAAAAAAAAAGAAAAAACATCAGAGGCTGTGGGCACACATCTGCAGATCATAGGAAGTCACAACCAAGGCATAAACATATGTGGCCCAGGGTTCCCACAAGTGCTGAACTTGGTAATGTGCATCTGTCAGTTGTTTATAAGGAGAGTGACAAACTCAAAACATGAGTTATTTTTACTGTATCTGGTAATAGGTAGCTAGTATGCAAAACAGGATCAAGCTCGTTTGAATGCATTCTTCTTTTAAAGGAGAAATTCACCTTCAGAACATATTACAACCATATTTACATCCTTGTCCCTCTCCCTTCTCTTACACCCCCCCAGACGGTTTCACCTTTATAAGGCTACGTTCACACTAGCGTTGTGTGCAGGCGGCAGAGGGGCGTTTCGGAAGCATTTTTACCGCTTCCCAAATGCCTCGGACAATTCTGCACATCGCAGCACATGGTGCTGTTCTAACGGGAGCGTTAGCGTCGCGGCAAAACGGACACCTCTGGTCAAGTCAGGAGGTGTTGAAGCCTCCTATTCTAGTCTATGGTGCTGTTCCGCAAACGCCCGGCGTCGATGCGGTTGCGGAGTGGTAACACCATTTAAACTTCATTATAGGCGTTTGTGGGGCGTTTTTAACGCTCGGCAAATGCCTAGCAACCGCCGCTAAACCGCGCATGCGCCGTTTGTGGAGCGTTTTTTTAACTCTCGGCAAATGCTCTGCAAACGCCGGACCAATGCTTGCCAAACGCTATAGGGGTGTTTGGCAAGCGTTGGTAAAACAGTCAAGTGTGAACAAGCCCTAAAAGTGGCATGGCTGTGCTGGGCTCCACCTGCACAGCCGTGACATTCACAATGAATGAGTCCCATGTGCCCCCATGGCTGACAGTTTGTTTTTCTCAATAGATTAGTCCACTGACCCTTCCTCAGGATTTCAAAGAGAAAGCCCATACAGAGGTACGGGCCAAACAGCTGATGGAAATGTCTGCAGGAGCCGGACATTGCACCTGTGATAAACTCATTGCAGATGCAATATTTTGTAGGAGCCTGAGAACAAAAATGCTAAATTTTTTTAACTGCCAAAATATGTGCATTTATTGCTTTTTGTTACATGTGAACTTGGCTTTTAAAGCAAAGAAAAAGGTTTACTGAATGTATGGTAATGTTTTCAATATTATGACCACATTTACATGGGCACTGAGGCATATAGTCTGTGAATGGGCTATGTGTTTATGCAAGGTACCGCATACAAGTATTTAATTCTATGGGGACATCGCTACTCACCCCAATTTGACAGGAATGCGGGTGAGTGGCTCTATATGTAGATCGTGTGCGAGGACAAAGGCTGGGTTTACATATGTGCATTGCAGTTTTTCTGTATCACCTTTGTATGAATGTTTTACACGCGTTTTAGTTTCTCTGCCATTAAACTCTATTAGAATGCACGTGTTATGAAAGCGCATCAAAGATGCAGCTTGCAGGACACATTCTCAGAGTTTAAGGGCAGCGCACTTAAAAATGAGTTAAACTGCTCATAAAAACGCATAACGGACAAACAGCACCGCGCAGACGTGAAGCCAGCCTAATAGCTATGTTTTTGTTCACATTAAAGCTCCTGCTCATCTAATAATTTGATTGTACACTAATTCTCCATCTAATATTTGCTCAGCCCCCTCAGGGTCTGGAGTCCTTGGCATAAGCAGCATTCCAGAATCTACAAAAGAATCCTGTCTTCTGGACCATGCAAAAACATAATCAAAGATTGTTTTTTTTTTGTTTTTTTTTATAAATATTTTATTAGGTTTTTCACATTTTAAATCATACATACAATAAAAAATAAATTCTATCTTATCATTTCACTTTTGATATTATCATACAAATACATAACAAAGCAACATTTTCCCTCCCCATCTTCAATCCACCCTCATTCCCCCCCCCCCCCCCCCCACAACCTCTTTTGCCGCTCTACATCCTTCATCTCTTCTAGGAAGTCCTAAGGGTTTTTTCTTCTTCTTTATTATATCCTAAGGGTTTTTTTTCTTCGTCTTTATATTATCCTCTTATTTTTACTCTAATTCTCTAAATTCTACAAATTGACTTAATCTCTTAAAATCCTCCCATTTTTTACGAAAACACTCCATTTTATCTTCCTCGATATGATATAGTTTTCTCCATTTTGTATATCTGGTCTACCCTTTCTACCCAATCCTTTATTTTTGGTGCCTCTTGTTCATTCTAAAATCTGGGTATCAAACCTTTTGCTGCATTTATGAAATATAGTAGACAAAAATTTTTGTATTTTTCCACTGTTATTTCCGTACTATGAAAAAGGCAGGTTTCTAAATCTCTTGGGATTTTAATTTCAGTTATCCTCTGAATCTGATGGATTACTCCCTCCCAGAATTCCTGTATTTTAAAACGATCCCACCAAATGTGTCCCATTGTGCCCCTTTTCCCACATCCACACCAACACAAAGGTGCATTTTCTCTACATTGTCTATTTGCTATACTCGGTGTGATATACCACCTCACCAAATATTTGTAATTCATTTCCACCTCCTTCATGTTTACATTCTCATGTGTTAATCTGTAAATCTTCCTTTGCTTTTTCTCTTCTATTTTTACCCCCAATTCCCTTTCCCATTTTCCATATATGGAGGAATCGTGATCGTTATCAATCTAGTGAGAATTGTATATATTTTAGAAGTCCCATGTTTCCCCTCTCCACGTGTATTAAATATTCAAATGGGTTTCATTTTTCTTTTGTTCTTAGGGGCCTAGGGAGCTACCCTATGAAATGTTTTAATAGAAAGAAATGCCACTCATCTAATCTAGTAAACAGCTCTTTCTTATTTTTCAATTCAGAAAAAGGACAAATTTCTTCGCCCTTCATTATATCTCTTAACTGTGCATCTTCCTTTTTTATCCATTTCCCTGCAATTTTTTCCTTCCCTGGCGGGAAGAAATCTGTGTCCACTACAGGCATAAACATGGAATTAAATTCCCATCCCATTTGTTTGTGCACTGTACCCCATATTTTTAAAACATTATGTGTGTATACATACTTGTGCTCTCTACCAATCAACGATGCTGAGGTGGAATCCAAACTATTCTATTCAAATGTGTCTTACTTAGTGTATTTTCTATTTTTATCCAACTTTTCCTCTGTGCATTTTTTGTCCAATCATAAATTTGTGCTAACAATACTGAATTATAGTATCTCTTAAAATCTGGTACCCCTAGTCCTGCATACTCCTTATCTCTACTTAAAATTTCATAACTTATTCTAGGTTTTTTATTCATATATATATTATACCTTTGTATCATTTTTTGATTATTTTAAAGTATCTTCCTGGGACCCTTACTTTCTTTCTTACTTTTTTGTATCAGAAGCAAAGATCTTAATCCGTTATCTCTACCTTCCCTTCCCGGGACAAAACCCACCTGATCTATATGAATCCATTCCGGCATTAGGTTTTTTATCCTATTTGCCAGAACTTTTGCATATAGTTTTGTATCAATGTTCAATAGGGATATTGGTCTATAACTAGAGCACTGAGTCTCATCCGTTCCCTCTTTCTGTATAATTACCACATGAGCCTGTAAGGACTCCTCCCTCATTTCCATCTTACCTCCCAGTGCATTCATATACAACCTCAGTTTGGGTATCAATTGATCTTTATATTTTTTATAATATCTCACAGTGTACCCATCGTGTCCTGGGCTTTTTCCTGCTTTAGTACTCTTTAATGCTATTTGAATTTCTTCTTGTGTCATTTCCTTTTCCAGGGATATTAACTGCTCTTCTCTTAATTTCGGAAGACCACCTTTTTTAGATATGGCTGTCTTTTTTTTTGTTCTTTCCTCTTCTTCCTTCCTAGGCCCTTGTGGGGTAATATTATATAGCTTGCTTAGTATTCTTTAAATACTTTTGCAGTATCCTTAGATGAGTACATTAGTTCTCCTTTATGGTCTCTTATTTTTTCTATATAGTTCCTAGATTTCTTCTTTCTCTGAGCCCTCATTAAATATTTTCCTGGTCTATCTCTCCACCGATATCTCTTACTTGCCATCTTATCAAACACTCTACTCTTTTCTTCTTCCAATAGATTATTAAAGTTCTTGTCTTTTATTTATTACATTCTGCTTAATCTCTTTTGCTGTTCCCTTTTTATGTATCTGTTCTAATTCGCTTAATCCTCTAAGAAGCTGTTCATTTTTTCCCTTCTTTCTTTTTTTTCACCCCAATCGCTATCAAAATTCCTCTAATATATGCCTTATGAGCTTCCCACACCGTTGCTACTGACACTTCTTCAGTCTCATTCCTATCAAAGTATAACTCTATTTCTGTTTTAACCTTCTGTTCAGTCTCATGATCCTGAAGAAATGTCTCATTTAATCTCCATATATTTCCTTTATTCTGCTCTTTCCCCCATAATAACCTCATTGTGACAGGTGCTTTGTCCGATATTGTTATAGGTTCTATATTTACTTTGATCAAAGACTCCAAGAGTCTATGATTCAATAATATATAATCCAATCTTGAATACATCTCATGTGCATGAGAGTAGAATGTATATTCTCTGTCCTTCTGATGTTTAATTCTCCATATATCTACCAGTTGACATTGGTGTAGCTTTTTCCTCAAAGGTTTCAAGTACTTACTACCCTCTCTCTGTACACATGACGACGTATCCATCAGCGGATCCATGCAAAAATTAAAATCTCCTGCCAAAATTAGTTTACCTTTTTTGAAGTCCATTAGTTTCCTCAGAATACTTTTTAGATATACCACCGTTTTTTTATTGGGACAGTAAATATTTGCCAATGTACATTCTATTTCTTGCAGTTTCCCCTTCAAAAACAGGAATCTCCCTTCCAGATCTTCCATCTTCTCTTCCAACTTAAACCTTATATTTTTCGCTTAGCCTATTGCAACACCCTTAACACGTTTAACTGGGGAATCTGCATAATACCAAGTTGGATAGTACCTAAATTGTAACTTTA